GGGAAAGCTGTTTTGCCAGGATCCAAAACCTTAACTTGAGGCCCTGGCCCCAGCCCCAGCCTAGGCCTGCCAAGTCTGTCCCTGGGAAAGCACACAGAACTAGCATTCCCTTTGTGCTCATCAGGGCCCCGAGACAGCCTGGATTGGTCTGTCTTCCAACAATGTGTGTGTTAGAATCACCACAAGAAAAGAAGGCCTCAAAAAGCCATTTGATCTGAATTTTTATATACTAAATTAGATAAAGAGAAATAAATTATGTAAACATGAGAACACCAAAGGACTTTTCCACAGGATATTGGAGGAAACTAGAAAGATGATTAGTTTAACAAAATTTGTTAATATAGACTTTCTCAGCCTTTAGCCTCTCATTAATGATGATAAGAATGTTTCTTTTCTTCTCATGTAAGAAGGACAACCCCCACAGGAGAAAGGGACAGGTTAAGATATTTCTCTAATGCCATTGCTCAAAATAATCCTATGACAAAATGGGCATTATTTGGCAAGAATATTTTACTTCATATACTACCAGAGCACATCATATGAAATTGCTGCTGTTACAATAATTTTGAAATAAGAATGGTAAATATTTCCCTATTTTTATTGAAAAAATTTTATACAGTATATTTTATGGTATTTTCCGTCCCCAAACTACTCCTGTATCTTTGCCGTTTCCCTGCCCATCCAACTTCCTCTTCTTTCTCATAAACAAAACAAAAGAAAGTGTGCTGGTGCACACCTTTAATCCCAGCACTGGGGAGACAGATATCTGAGTTTGAGGCCAGCCTGGTCTACAGAGTGAGTTCCAGGACAGCCAGGGCTACACAAAGAAACCCTGTCTTGAAAAAGCCAAAAAAAAAAAAAACAAACAAACAAAATGAATGTTGACCATGCAGTGGTAGCACACACCTTTAATCTCAGCACTTGGGAGGCAGAAGCAGGTGAATCTCTGTGAGTTTGAGGCCAGCCTGGTCTACAGAGGGAGTTCCAGGACAGCCAGGGCTACACAGAGAAACCCTGTCTTGAAAAAGCAAACCAAACCAAACAAACAAACAAACAGAAAAGCCAAAACAACAAACAAACCCACTAAGACAAATAAATCCTGAAACAAAACAAGCACACACATACACAAAAACATTCATGGACATGGGGCCTGTTGTAGAGTGTGGTTGATATACCCAGTGTCACTCCACTGGAGAAAACTGATTTCCCTTTCCCAGCCGGTATCAATTGCAGACACCTTCTTGATTAAGAGGGGGATTTTGTGTCCACTTCCTCTTCTCCATACTGGAATTTTATCTGATTTAAAGGGATTCAGATCCTTGCATGCTGACACCACAGTCCTTGTGTCTGCAGTTCTGTCGTGTTTGGAAGATGCTGTTTCCTTGGAGTCATCTACTGTCTCTGTCTCATGAACTTTGTACCCCTTCTTCTACATAGATCCCCGAGCATTGAAGGGGTGTGTTTGATAATGATGTCCCATTTAATGCTGAGTGTTCCAAAGGCTCTCACTCTACACTGTAGTGTCTGCTTGTGGGTCTCTGTGTTATTACTCTTAGAAGAAACGTCTTTAATGATGGCTGAGAGGGGCACTGATCTATGGGTATAGCAATGTCATTAGGAATCATTTTATTGCTATTTTCCTTTAGCAGATCAATAGCATTTGGTTTTTCCCCTAGGCTCATGAACTATCTAATCTTGGGTTCTTGGACACTTTAGCCGTTTCAGCTGTGGTTCCATCTAGTGAAATAGGCCTTAAATCCAACCAATAAATGGTTGGGGAAGGGGAAAGGCATGATCAGAATCTATTGTATGGAAAAAAATTCATTTTGGAAAAAAGTGGCTTGTTACTCCCATAACATTGTTCTACTATTGCTTGAGCATATCATACAGACAGGTCAATGTTGTAATTCACAAGGATTATAACTACATGCAACTGGTGATTACTGTCTTCCCCAGCTGCATGTAAAGTACCTTTGAGCACCATGAACACTAGTCAGTGGAAGTGAAGCATCTAGTTGGGCACCACCTCAAATCTCCATGTTCAGTGACATAAGTAGTGATGTCTTCAGCGAGATGGCCTTATGTTGCTGGAGAATTTCTCTCCAGCTCCCGCCAGTCCCGGAGCCCACTTATAAAATAAACACACAGACTCTTACATTATTTAAACTGCTTGGCCATTAGCTCAGGCCTATCATTGTTTAGCTCTTACTCTTATATTCAGCCCATTTCTATTAATCTTTACTTTGCCACGTAGCTCGTGGCTTACCGGTACTTTACATCTTCCTTGTCCTGGCGGCAGCTCCAGGCAGTCTCTCTTTCCTTCCTCCTTCCTCAATTCTCCTCTCTCCTTGTCCCACCTATACTTCCTGCCTGGTCACTGGCCATTCAGTGCTTTATTTATTAACATACAATTAAAATCACTTTTCAGTACAAATAAAATACCACCATAGCCTTACCTTCAGGCCATGAAGAATAACCAACAGTCAATAGCCTTGGAAATAGCCTATGATGTTTGGGGGTCTGTGGGATCCCTTGATCAGTAACACAGCAAAATGTAACCCATTCTTGGCACTGGAGGTTTGACTCGATGGCATAAGATGTCTAGTTGGGGCATTGTCTCCCCCATTATATGGTGACTCACTCTGTTTTTAAAAAGTGTGTGTGTGTGTGTGTGTGTGTGTGTGTGTGTGTGTGTGTGTGTGTGTTAAACATTACAATTCATATATATGGTTTCTATATGGCTTTTCAAAAGCCCATTAGTACTGATTGTTCCTCCCCATCTCCCTATACTCCTTCTTTACCCTGCCCTACTATTCCCTGCCCCCATCTAATCCTCCTGTTCTAGTTTCCACTTTATCTCCACTTTATAACAATATATTCTGCTTCCCCTTCCTTGTCCAATTCTTTCTCCCCACTGGTTCCTTATTAGTTGTCTATGCTCTGTGCCTATTCTGATTGAAACATACATACCCAAAGCTTAAAAGATAACATCAACATAGAAAAGAAAACATGCAATATTTGTCTATTTATTCTGGTTTATCTCACTCAGGATGGTTGTTTCTAGTCCCATCCATTTACCATTCAGAATTTTATTTTTCTAAAGAGCTGAATAATAGTTGATTGTCTAAATGTACCACATTTTATTATCCAGTTATCAGTTGATGAACCTCTAGGCTGTTTCCAATTTCTGGCAGCAATGACCATGGATGAGCAAGTATCTCTACAGTAGGATGTAGTGTCCCTTGGGTATATTCCCAAGAGTGGTGTAACTGAATGTTGGGGCAGGGTTTCAGGTTTTTGAGGAACCTCTCCATGATTTCCATAGTGGCCAGACCAGTTTGTACTCCCACCAACTCCCCTGTCTCCACATCCTCACCGCCATGTGATGTCATTTGTTTTCTTGATCATTCTCACTGGCTATGAAATTTAAGAGTAGTTTTAATTTTAATTTCCTCAGGGGCCAAAGATGTTGAACTTTTAAAATTGTTTCTTGGCCATTTCTGTTTCATCTCTTGAGAACTATTTACTCCTATGTCCCATTTTTAAATTGCATTATTTGTTTTCTTGATGTTCAGGTTTTTGAGTTCTCTGTCTGATTTAGATGCTAATCCTCTATCATATGTATTATTGGTAAAGATTTTCCCCCTTCTGTAGTCTGCTGCTTTGCTTCACTGATGGCATTCTTTACTGTAGAGTAGGGTTTTAACTTTATGAGGTCCATTTATTAATTTTTGGTTTTAATGCCTATGCAATCAATATCCTGTTCAGAGAGTCCTTTCATATTCTGATGATTTAAAGACTATTCCCTGTATTTTCATCTCTTAGATTTGGGATAGCTGATCTTACATTGAGGTTAGTAATTTGTTTGGAGATAATTATATGCAGGGTTATAGGTATACATTGGTTTTTGTTCTTCTGCATAAAGCTATCTAGTTTGACCAGCATCATTTGTTGAAGATTCTGTCTTTTCATTAGTTACTCTTGTTTCTTTCTAAATTCTACTTTCATGTCTTGAATGTTTTTAATTATTTAATTATTTCATTCATCTGTTTATGTTTTTATGATCTTCATAAAGGCATTTATTCATCTTTGAACACATTCATAATTGCTATTTTCAAGTCTTTGTCTTGCACATCAGCTAAATTGCTTTTTCAAGGCTATTGCAATAGGTTGCTGGCTTATGGAGGAAGTGTATTTTTTTTTGGTGTGTAGTTTTGCACTGGGATTGATGTATCTGGAGTTAAGATATTTGAAGTGATTCTTGCTGTAGATATTTGGTGTTGCCTTTGTTGGTTGAATGTTCCATTCTTTGGTTACTGTTGCCCATTTGTGCTGTGAGATAATGCTTTTGTACACTGGTTTAACAAAACACTGATTGGCCAGTAGCCAGACAGGAAGTATAGGTGGGATAAGCAGACAAGGAGAATTCTGGGAAGAGAAAGGCTGAGTCAGGAGACGCCAGCCCAACGTCCAGGCAACAGCATGTAATGGCACACAGGTAAAGCCATGGAAAACGTGGCAACATATAGATTAACAGAAATGGGCTGAGTTTAAGTGTAAGAGCTGGTCAGGAGTAAGCCTCAGCTAATGGCTGAGCAGTTATAATTAATATAAGCTTCTGAGTGATTCTGAAACAATGTATTTCTAGCATTTAATTTTTAATTTATTACCTTTTCTTTGTTTGGACAAATAACTAATCTTCAGTCTTCCACAGAGTTTAGAATTCTGTAGTCTTATATAGATTTCCAGGCATTACCAGAGCATATGTATGTATGTATGTATGTATGCTTATAATTATACATATATAATTATATGATTCCAATGATATCTGGAGAAATGCCACAGACTAAAGTTCTCCTTGGTTAGGTCATTTCCAGTTTGACAAACTCCCTTACAATAGCTTACTAATGCTGAAGATTTTTGCATCCACCCAAGATACCAGAATCTTTGCTGTTACAGAGCAAAACAGTGAACTGTTGAATGTTCTTCTTTTTCTACAGTGCCTCCAAAGCCATTATACCTGCAGAATTTACCTTCATCCCATACACCCCAAGTCCCCAGGCATAAAGCTTTACCGAGTGCAAAACCAAGGATGGAGGAAGCTAATCCGGCCCCTACTTCATGTGCCTCAAAAGGAAAACCCAGTAAGGTGTCAGATCTCATCAGTCACTTTGAAGGAGGCAGGTAAGAGTTACCATGTAATAGGTGAAGGCGGGGAGGAAAAGATGGCCTTTGAAAATCACAGTATCTCACTAAGTTTCCCGCCTTTAACAAGTACATTTCAAAAATCAATTTCATGATCTTGCCCTGGTAGGTGTTAACATTCACTACATAAGGACAAACTGTTTCTCATTTCCTGTGTCTGTGTGTCATTCTGGGTCACTTCTGTGGCCATGCTGCTGTCCACTCTTGGTAGTAAGGCCACCATGTCATCTCAGACTCTGTTGTCCTCACTCTCTGAGGACCTGACTCCTGTGGATTCTTGCCTTCCTGGGCCCTCTCTAGTCTTTCTGACTCATTTCATTTAACAAGAGGCTGCTATACCAATTCAGCCTGCTTCCCTCTTCCTTTTGTTACCTCATAATAAGTGGTTCAGAGAGATAAACACAAAACTCATGCTGAATACCCATTTCATTCTAAACAAGGGAATTTTATATTCTTTAGTTCTAATGTATGAGAAAAATGTGCTTTTTCATGTAAAAATAAAAACCAAATTTAAACAAGTTGCTTTTCTGCTTGTACAACCTAAATTGTTTCATCTTAGAATTGTTTGTCATTAGAAATCTGAATAGAATGTCTATCATTTCACTTACACCATACAGCCAAAGAGTTTCACTCACTTAGGTGTAATATTGAGGGATAATTTCCCATTACATGAATCATTTTTTTAAATTTTATTTTACTATTTTATATGTATGGGTGTTTCATGTATATGAACTTTTAAGTATCATTATTATATATATAGTGACATTATAGCTCAGGAATATTTGGGGATGTCCTGGGAAGCATGAGCAAGCACAGAACTACAATGTCTTTCATTCAAAATTCAAAATGTAAACATAAGCCAGCTGGGGGCACAGGCCTATAATCACAACACTCACAGGGCTGAAGCAGGGGGATGGAGAGTTTGAGGAGAGTCTGGCCCCCATGGCAAGACTCTCTCAAAAACAAAAGAAGAAACTAAAATGTAATGCATTTATAAAATATTATGCTTACTATAATAGTTATAACTTCTGGAGAAAAATGATTAAAAGCCTGTCTTCATGTTTCATTCCTGACCAGTTGTGATATCTCCTGTAAATCCTCAAATACCTCTGAAGGGAATTTGTAATGCTTTTGATAGCTAAAATTATAGCAATATTTAAAGGAATGATTAAATTCCATTCAGTTTTTTTTCTTCTCAGAGTGAATTGATTCAAAAGAGGTCCTTCCAGTTTACAGATTCTACAGCCACTACAGTGACTGCAGAATGTAAGGAGGGCTGGAGCCTGAGCTTGGTATGAGTGCTTTCATCAGGGCTTGGGGACCTCAAAGGAGCCAATATTCCAAAGGCTGATGTTTCTACTGTCATCAGTTCTGTGACCCATTCTCTGCATTATTTGAATTTATCTCTCCAGGTAAAATGGGTACAACTTTTGTACTATATGTAAGGAAGGATGTGCTGTAATTCATGGTTCTAAGCATACGTAAGGCACAATGTCCATGTTTGGACAAAGCTTTGCAGGGTTCTACTTGTGGTGGACTCCATTGCAAGCAGCATTGGCATTGGTCTGGTGTCATACAAGCAGTGCCAGTGGGTGGTGTTCAAATCCACTAAAGACTTAGACTCAATTCCAACTTAGATTAAGTGAATTTATTCTTACTGCTAGCAGAAGGACGGCAGCCTTAAAGCCAGACAGTGTACCGTTCAGAAGGGGGTGAGGTGAGGTTGTAAGGTGGACATCAGAAAGGTGTGTGTCACAACTATCCATGGACTCCACAGCCGGACAGGAAAACTGTTTTGCTTCCCATAGTTTTTCTTTCTTTCCCACTATATAGTAATAATAATATAGTAATAATTTCCTCACTTTCTCATAGTGATAGTGAGTTTTACACAAGCAAAAGCAGCTGTTAATACTCACAGCCCATTATCCTATTATTTCTTTTTTGAGTCCGGGTTTCTCCGTGTAGTCCTGACTGTCCTGAAACTCACTCTGTAGACCAGGCTGGCCTTGAACTTAGAAAGCTATGCCTGCCTCTGCCTCCCGAGTGCTGGGATTAAAGGCGGTTCCATTATCCTATTCTTATCTCACTTGCAGGCCACAAGGATCTCTCAGGCATTCCAGAACCAAAGGTCAACAGTCCATATACTCGGCTCCATATTAAGTCATCACATGGGTACCTGTGTAAATTTATTCAGGTCTGAGCTTTCCAATGACTAGGATGGAGGAGTTCATCTCTGGGCAGGAAAAAACACAGTGCCATCAGCTTAGGGCTGGCTGTCATGTCCTCACATCAGGACAGCCAGTTCTAAAAGGGTCTGCAAAGCAGGTTAATACTGCATTGATTTTACTGTTGGACAGCGTCCACAAGCCTGCAGTCTGGGTTTCAGTTTTGATCCCTATTGTCACAGCCTACTACTTTGTAAAACAAAAGGAGGCCACTGGGTTCTCAATAACCACAGAAATAAGCCAGAAGGACCTTGGAGGGCCACGTATCACTGCTGTTGGGGACCTTAGATGAAGACCAGTGAGGTGGCTCAGCAGGAGGAGCGCCTGCCCCGCACGCACGCCTGAAACTCAGGGTAGAAGGAGAGATCTGACTCCTGACCTCCACAGTGCTCCACAGCCCATGCGTGTTCTCTCTCTCTCTCTCTCTCTCTCTTTCCCTCCCTCCCTCCCTCCCTCTCTTACACACACACACCAATCATAAATACTTTTTAAAGGACCAGCTGAGTGTCATAGTTTCACTTGGATGAAAGTAATACCATTCTTAGAATGATTTGGAGCGAGTAGATTTTATTTTATTTTTTACTGTAGCTTCCTTTTTCTCGCATTTTTCTTTCTCCTGGAATAAGAAAAAATACTCTTTTTTAGCTTAAAAAAACTTCATGATTTTAAAAATAACGCCTTCCCACAGACAAGTGCTGGGCTTTCCCAAGCATATTGCATGGCTAACTCCAACACACACACACACACACACACACACACACACACACACACACACACACACACACACACACACACACACTTGCCTTCTGCAGGCTGCAGGGTCTCCTGAGCACTGGTTTAACTCCTGCTTTTCCGTGTTCCCAGCTCTTGCTCCTGGTGCAGATGTGCTTTTGATGTCAGCTGCTGCAGGAAATTGCTGCTTTCCAAGGCATGCTTTTGGAGACTATAGAAAGTGGACAGCTTGGTTCATCTCTGAGGACTTTTGACAGATTATCCAGGCTCAATATACACTATGTATAGAGGGCAATCACAAAGTAGAATGTGTCACACTTGCTTATGCTGGCCACTTCCTTCTTTTTATATATAAACATTTCTCCTTCTGACATTTTTTCCCTTCTCTTACTACTGTGGCCCTGGGGTTGAACTTGGACCATACATTTTTTCTTCCTTTCTTTGTTGCTAACTCTCACTGTTCCATTTTTCTGTTCTTTGGGTAAGGGTGGGTTAGGATGAAGGATGAAGGTAACAGCACATCTCTGCACTTGCTAAAGTGCCTTGCCATAGCTCACCCAGAGTCCCACCTGTACTGAAGATGGTGATCAGTCTTCGATTTTGTCCCCGCTTTTTGTTGGTAGCTATTCACCTGCTCCTCAGTCCCACTAAAAGGTTTCCTTATACGTGGGGCAAAGGTGATGGGATTAGAGCTGGACTTCACAGCTTGAGTTCTAGTTTTGCCACTTGCTAGCCAGGTGACATTGGCCGTAGGACCGAATCCTCCCATGTGTAGATTCCTCTGTTCATGGCCCGGCTTTAGGAATCAGGTAGAAGACTTAGCATGGTTTGCGACCCTTAGTGGGTACTTTGTGAACATTGTCTGCTGTTGTGTCGTTGCCGCAGGGTCACCACAGCCATCTACAATCTTAGACATTTGTTGAACTCTTCACATATCAAGCTAAGTTGTAGGAATAAATCTGGGAACAAGAAAACACTATCTTCACGCTCATAGACTCTTAATCTGTTTTAATTTCTTTTTATTTATGTCACAGAAATTTATCAGATATTTATAGCTTTGAGTTTATGTTCTCTCCCTCAACTTTAAATTATAGGTTAAAATGCTTTACAAATATTTCCATAGGAACATGATTATATATTGGGAGGATTTTCTTTTGTCCAGTTAATACTATCAAGATTACATAGACTATCAACAATAATAACTATTAACAGGGCTTTAAAGATGATTAAAAGAAGATTAGAGAAAGTGGTAGAGTATGCTGTGTAGATAGAACAACCAAGAAAAGCTTCTCAAAAGGCCTGAGTGACAGTGACGGAGGAGTGCCCTCTACCAGTGCCCTGGGGAAGATTTGCTGGGCCCACAAGAGCAGGGCTGCTGCCCCTACGATGTGCACAAATGGAGAACTACAGAAGGGTGGCAAGGCCTCAGTAAGGGGAAAGGCGGTCCAGGAGATGGGAGACGTGGGAGCTGGAGAAGGCAAGAGTCTTGCAGATGTCATGCATGAGTCTTGCAAGTGAACTCTTGCATGTATAAAGATCTGATTTGTGAGGACCAGATTGAAGAGATCAAAAGCAAAACTAAAGAGAACCATTGGGGATCAGTTGGCAGCTACCACTACTTATTATGTGTAATAAAGTTTTTCAAATGTTTCTACTTTCCAAATCAAATTAACTTGGTTTTATATCCAGTTCATAAACAAGGAATGCCTATGCTTGTTTGAAGAAATGTTAAGAAATAAAGATCTTGGGAAAAGGCAATCTCGTTAAACAAATACTCTTTCATCTCTATCCTTACTGAAAAAGTTGTATTAGTAAACAGCTCATGGGAATGCTCCAACCAAGAAATGTTCAGGTTCATCCCGTCTGCTTTTGGTTGTGAGCCTAGCCATTTACAGGTGACCCATCTCCAGCCTTTCCTCCTTTCTAAATAACTGCTTGTTTAAATGTGGCTCATGTCCAAAGAATCTGTGTTTCCAAAACCATCATGAATCGGTATGATGTTTCTTTTCACCTGGAATTGACTCGTTTTCATTCTAAAGCTTTTCATACTGATGTTTCTTTTTGTATTTTATCTTACAGTGTTTTGTCAAGTTACATTGACTTGCAAAAAGATTCTACAGTGAACCTAAATATTCCTCAAACTCCAGGACAGCATGGATTGACCTCCACACCTCGGCAGAAATTCCTAGCACAGCACTCTCCACAGAAGCAGGAAAATGATGCAGATCAGACTCGGGGCCAACATAGTTGTTCGGCCAACGGCGTGGTGGCAGCACAAAACCAGATGGAATGTGAAGATGAGAAAGAGACTACGTGTAGCCCAGAGACCTCTGTTCAAACTGATGTGGCCTCTCTTCATACACACTTGGTGAATGGAGAAAGAAATGAAACTACCACAGATCCTGCATCATCCATAACCAATAGCCATGATGAAAATGCTTCTGACAGCTGCGGGGCTCCAGGAGCTGACTTAGGGCTGCCCTCCAAAGGAGGAGGGCCGGGAATGGAAACTGAGCTACAAGAGAAGGAAAATGGAGTGAGCACCATGGAACTGGATAAGCTGGACCAGCACCATGAAATGAAGGTAAAGCATAAACTGTCTCATTCCAGGGAAGCATTGCCTAGTGTGTTACTGTTCCAGATGCTTTCATAACACCTGTGAAATGCATGACTCAGGTTACACACACTAGCAGATAAACCCTTTGCAAGCTCCAGCAGCTACTGGGTTCTATCCCCTCTCAAAGGTGTTTCCCTTTTTCTTCTTGTGTACCTTCTTTTGATCATTCTGTTGTGATTTCTAAAAGCATGGTTGTGTTGTAGGAAAACCACAGCAACCATGTTATTTCCACTTGGGAGGCAGATGTTCTTTGTGGCTCTAGATGTTGGTGTTATAGAGCAGTATTGTTTCCCTGGTATAACAAACTGCAAACCTAAATAGGAACATGCAGGAAATACCAGCTTCTACAGCCAGGGGTGTTACACTAGACCAGGGTGGACCTGGAGGGAACTGAACCAGCACCGTGAGATGAGAGTGACCTGAGACTTGATCCCTCAGGGTTAAGCACCGGCATGGGTGCAGTCAGCAGCTCAGGAGTCGGGGTGATACAGTTCACATAAAATAGGAAGTTTTGCTAGCTGTATTTTATCATACTTTTAAGGAAATCTTTTAGAAAATGAAAAAGTATAATGTGATTGATCAAACAGAACCAGAAAATCTTGATACTGCTTCTGGCACATCCATTAACTCACAGGTATTTTTGTATGTGACTCTAATCGCAGATTGTTTTGGTCTTGTTTATATCAGTATCTTACTTTGGGATTTTAATAACATGGCATTCATGCCGTACTTTGGATTTCTTGTAGCAAATGTGTCATGTAAGTTTCATTGTGAATTTCCTAGTCTTTAACATGCTGTGTATTTTTCTGAAAACAACCTAGAAATTTCTCTTGCTTGATGTTTCTTGTTGAATATATTAAATAAAATTAAAACTTTGGCAATTGTAGGAATATCAAATGGAAAATCCAAATCTTAAATCTACTTATGATACTTGTGGTTTTATGCCCTAGCATAGGCAGACACATAGTAAAGGGCTGATTCTAAAATGTTGACTGACTGACTGGTGGTTGTATTTAGAACTCTAACTGAAGTGTAATCAACGAGGATTATAATTGTAAGCAAATGGGTGAGAGAAAGTGACTCATGCTTCATAACATTGTCTAAAAAGGCAAAGAAACACAGCACAGCAAAGGGATTCTCCATGTGAGTCAGCGGGATAAAATTGGGTGTTTCCGCACTTGAGCGATGGTGACAGGAAGAGGCGGCCAGAAGCACGTTGTCTTTCTCAGTTGAGATGATGCCCTTAGGGTCACCTGTGATGCCCAAGTGCCGCTCCTGTGAAGGGGGTTTGTGTGGCTCCTGTGGTTGGTCCCTGGCTGGTCCTTCTACTTTGTGTTGTTTTTGTAGCTGCATATTCTTAGATGAATTTTACTTGACTTGAGAGAGATAATACAATTTTTTTTCTTTTTTGAAAATAGATATTTTTTCATAAAATATATTCTAATTATTCTTTCCCTTCCCATTTGTCCCAGATCATCCCTTTTTCCCCACCCAGCCAAATTCATACCCTTTCTTTCTCTTTCTCATTAGAATACAAATGGGCATCTAAAAATAAGAACAAATACGGCAGAACAGGACAAAAACAAACCTTTTTTATTATTAAGCTAATGAATCAGAGTGTAATACAGGGTCTTTCCCTGATACCTAGTGGATGGCACATGCCACGTAGGGTGAGCTGTTGATCCAAACACCACCCGGTGCCAGCATGGTGTTAGTGCGTCACCCTGTCCTTCTCTGAAGCCTGCCACTCTGTTTCCTTGTCTATGTTATATGTTAATGGTCAGGGACGGTATATTTTGTTAACTGTATTTTAACATAATTAGGAATAAAAGAGAACTTCTTTTTACAATTTGTAGTAGACTATTGTGTAGTAAGTAGTTGGGACAAGGAACTGATGGTGCTCCTTCTGGCTTAGGGCTGGACAGGTCAGGAAAACTCCTGTGTAGTTAAGGGATATAAGCTTCATGATGACAGAGCTCTTTTCCATGATAATGTAGTAATTCTATGTGGTTATGTGTGATAAATACCCTTGGTGACCTTCAGATCATCTAGTGCTTCTTAAACTTTCTAATGTGATGAAGTGTTAAGATACAATATTTTGAAATTTATCATGCACACAACTGAAAAATAATCACTCTGTCTTTATGTAAGTGGATAAAGAGACTTATGTAAGAAGAGTTTCAAGTCAATCTCATTTAAACAAATAGTCAACCTAGTGGCCGTTTTCTTGAAGGAAGCTCTAGTGGGCAGCACAGCTCCCTTGTGTACCGTTGATGAAGGAACACCCTTCTCTGTCCAGAAAGGTGGTCCTCTCGAACTGAGTAGAAGGCGTCAAGATGCCCATGGCACAGTGAGGGTGGGAAGGGACGCTTGGCTAGCCAGCCCGGTTAACCAGATTACCCCTGAGGGTGACAGCCAGACTACCCTCCTGCCCTTAGTAGACGTTTCCCAAATGCCCACCCGCAGGGAAGATGAAAAACAATGGCAAATGGTGTGGAATATTATTTTAACTGGGCAGAGATGTGTGGCATTTGTTTATGCTGAGGAATATTACTTTAACTGTGTAAAGGTGTGTGACTTTTGTTCATGCTGCATTTGTTCAATGATGTAAAGATGTGTTACCTTTGTTTCCCCTTGCCTGCCTAAGGCACCTGATTGGTCTAATAAAGAGCTGAATGGTCATTAGCTGGGCAGAGAAAGGATAGGTGCAGCTTGTGGACAGAAAGAATAAACAGAAGGAGAAATCTAGGCTCAAAAAGGAAAAAGAATAAGAGAAGGAGGAGAGAATGAGGGACATGCCTGGGGCAGAAGCCAGGCAGCCGCCAACCAACCAGACATGCGAAGCAGTGAAAATAAGATATACAGAAGGAAAGAAAAGTAAAAATCCCCAAGGCAAAGGGTAGATAAAGAGAAACAGGTTAATTTAAGTTAAAAGAGCTAGCCAGGCCGAGCATTCATAACTAATAGTAAGTCTCTGTGTCATGATTTGGGAGCTGGCTGGGTGGCAGACCAAAAGAAAAAGCCTGGTACAGTCAAATGCAAAGTATAAATAGAAAGGTATAATAGTCTGGAAGTTTAATCTTATTAAAATATACCATTAGTCACTATTAATAAGTGAGAACTGACTTTAAAGAGTCTCTCTGATTATAAGCTATTTTATTGATATGAGGATATATTTTGAACAATGGCAACTGTAAAATATTTTAATTTTTACCATGTAAAAGCTAGAGGATGACTAACTGGCATCCTGACTACTCTGAGAGCACTACACTCTTCCAACAATGAAACTTCAGTTTTCTGAGGCAGGATCTTCTATGGAACTCCTTAGGTTGTCCAGGGTAGCCTCAAACTCCCAACCCTCCTACCTACCTCAGCATCCTGTGGGTTGGAATTACAAGCATGTAACACTATATTCATCTTAAATAAATGCTAGTAATCTGCAATATAGCTGTACATCTAAAAGTATCTTTTAAACATCAAAACTGGCAAATAAAAATAAAGTTCAAATCATAAGCATTTTGTTATACCTTTAGTCACTAGGTGATACTTTGAAGAAAGAAACACTCTGAGTAACTTTGAGAAAAGACAAACACAATATATTTGAAGGAATATCTACCTTGTAAAGTTTACCTTGTGCATGTGAAACTATGGAGAGATTTTCATTTATACGACTTTGTAGATACGTATCCATTAAAGTGTGTGTACTTAAGAAACGGCAATCATTTTTAATTAAATTCCTTCTAAGGCATGCTAAACACATAGTTTTTGTCTCATTGCAGAGTATGCTTTATTAGTTTAAGCACTTATGAAAACTAAACTTCACTCCAGACAGGAATTAGGGTACTGTCCCCTGTGACATCTGTTAGGGTCTGAGAGAAGCCCCCCAAGAAAGAGCATCAGTCACGTATGCAACAGCAAGAGCATTTATTATTTCCAACATGTTGGGGTGGCAAATAGCTATCCCTAAGGGAGGCTCAAGCTCCTTTTAAGTAGAGTTAGGGGGATTCCAGGGAGGAGGGATTAATCTGGTACTGATTGGTAAAGGAAAGATTAGTCTGAGGGCTGATAAGCATTCAGAATATCTAACTGTCACATATGCTAACATGAAAATTAATGGACAAAGGATGTAGCTCAGTGATCGACAAATTCCTGTTATTTGTGAAACCTTGTGTTCAGTTACAAACAAGTGTTGTAATCTAAGTTATTTTTTCCTCCATTTTCAATTACTGTTTGGTTGTAATTATTTTTTAATTGATTTTTTCATACAGTATGTTCTGGTCACATTTTTCCTCTCTCCTAGATGCTGTAGTTGTAATGTTTAGATCATTGATTAATTTAGAAACACAAATGAAACATTTGTGCTCCAAGAATACCAAGTGATGGACAGGCTGCTAAGAAGCAGGTGAAGTAGACTTGAAATTGGCTGCATGGTCAAGGATGAAGTGGGATGGGATAGGAGATATAGTCAATGAGCAAAGGCAAGATTCAATATTTAAGGAAATATATTGATGAGCATGGACTTCAATTAAGATTTTTAATTCCAATCAAATTGGTCTTATAATGAGGCCAGAAAGGATAGAGAAATTAGTATGAGAGCAATGGGCTAGACTTATTTCTGAGTTGTAATCTCACTGGATTGCCTGGGGTCATTGTACTCCTGGCCTTTAATTAAACCTCATCCTCCCAAGGAGCTGGTAGTGCAGGCTTATGGACCCATGATCACCTGAGGCCTTAACTTATGAGGAAAGCTGAAGACAGATTGATGTGGGCTGGTGTGCAGTGGGCTAGTGTGCAGTTTGTGTGTGTGTGTGTGTGTGTGTGTGTGTGTGTGTGTGTGTGTGTTGTGTACATGTAGAGGTTGGTCTACACCTTTCACCCTTCTTGTTTAAGGCAGAGTCTCTTGTTGATTGTTGTATATGCTACACTAGCAGGCCCAGAAGCTTCTGAGCTCTGCCTCTGCCTGCCAA